AGGATCGAAAACTGGGAGAAGAGGTGAAAAACGGCGAGTTCACGGTTTTCCTTGGCTGTTCACGGTTTTGTATGGCCGTGAAGAAGAGCCATTGACCGTGAACTTTGAGGCGTCCAGAGCCAAAATGCAAGTTACCGACGCCAATTGTGTTCACGGTCGCAAAGACCGTGAACATGAGATGTAGACCGTGAACACAAGCAAGCGAAGTGGTGCATTTCGGCGCCCAATTGGAGTTCACATACGCGTTTCAGCATTCACGACCGTGAACTGGAGTCGTCAACACAGCTTGTTCCCTGTTTAAAAGCTGAGCTGGATGAAAGAGGCAGAGGGGAGAGCCCACTTGAGTGAGAAAGCCTTCTTCTGATTTCTAGAGAGAGAAACACGAACCAAAGAAGAAGGAGGCTAGGGTTTTGCTCCAAGGTGGATTTTGGGAAGATTTTTTCCAAAGAAAGTTCAACACAAGGGCCAAGAAGAATGGAAGCCTCCTCCAATATGGTTTCTACCTCTTCTCTTTTGTTTCTCCCATTTCTAGCATGGAGTAGAATTCTTTTCACTTGGGTGTTTTGAAACCCTAACTCTACTATGTAGTTTTCTTTTATGTGAATTGAATGATTCTCATTGGGTATTGTTTAATTCAAGTGTTTGATATATTATTCATCTTGATTGTGCATGTTTGTGCTTAGCATCCTTAGGTTTGTGCATGTATATGCTTAGTAACCTAAGGATTGGGCATGTCTATGCTTAGCAATCTAATTAGCCACTTAACCTAGTCTAGAGAGGGAACCCCCCCCCCCCCCTCCAAGGGAGTTTCAATTGAGTTGGTATCCCTAGGGCTTTTCAAGTCTTCTAACTAGCTTAATTTAGGGAAAACCTCAATATTGGATTAAGCAATTTTGTTAAGCGCGATTAAGCAGTCCAATTCTTGGGTTGAGTGAGGGAGTAAGTCAACCATTGATTGCCTAAACCGAGAGGGCCCAGTGACAGCCTATAATGCATGCCTTGGTTTATCAATCATGAGCGTGGTCTACGACCATATTTGCGTCCCCTAGCGGTTAGCAATCACCTTGCCCATAGCAAACATTTCGGTTCACATACCATGGTAGTATTTAGGGGGAAGCGACACCCAAGTGATCCTTCCACAAAAGAGCTTTCAAAACCATTCACATTTGTCTTGTTTTACTTTAATTAGCAGACTTTTCAACCAAAACTTTATTGCTAGATAATGATTCAAATGACTGGAGTAGGGTAAAGGGATCGACCAAAGTTGATATTTAAACATACTTATCATGTACTGCACCCGACTAAGGTTTATACACAGACCTTAGGCGGGAAATTATTGTGGTATTCGGGACGAGTCAACGGTATGTTATCTTGAAAAAGTTTTTTGGTGTTAATCTAGCTTTTAATTTCCAGTTTTGAAAGTGTGTGTGCTTTGCTTGTGCTAGACTTGGTGTGATTTCCGATTGTGTGTAGGTGATGCATGACCCGGAGTAACCCAGAACCTTTGCTACCACTTGACGAGGACATAAATCAAACTCTCCGGCTCCTTGCAAGGGAGAGAGAGCTAGTGGAGGCAAGGAGAAGGAGTGAAAGAAGGGGACAACATTTGGGTCCCGGGTGTTAGTGGAGAAGAAGTTGAAGAAGTGGAATTTGAACCCGTCATTGTAGTAGAAATGGCGGGGAACCAAAGGCAAGATGGAGACCAAGCTCGTCAGTAAAATATGCGGCGGAGGAAGAGGAATCCCCGAGGATGATAGGGGTACTATAGGGCCCCAAGGCCAGCGGACATTCAATCGCCAATCCTACATCCTCCAGTGGCGGCAAACAATTTCGAGATAAGGCCTCTAGTGACTATGATACACTCACAATTAAGGGCAATGTCGAGCTTATGTGTGTACGGGGGGGGGGGGGGTATGTTTGCCCAAATTTGAAAATTTTGAGGGCTCCGAGCATTGTTGGAATGAGCAAAGTGGTCGTTTTGTGGGAGAATTTCGTGTCTATTCGCTTTGACCTTAAATTGTTGCATGTGATCTAGTATGTCCTATGATGATGACTGATAGGTGCATTAGGATAGTGAAAAATTTTAGTTCTCATGTGTGCAAAAATGAATGGATGCTTTGACTCGATTACTTGTTGATTACAATTGCCATGCATGTTGCTTTGTGGATTGGAATAGATGGTTGGGTGACTAGGTAGCCATGCGAGTTTTGAGCCGATCGTTTTCTTCTTGTGTGCTTAGATCCCTCTTACCATGGCAAGTAACATCATAGTTGTCACTAGTGAGTATGATGGAGGCATAGGATTAGTCCACGCCCAAATGTTGATTCTCCCGAAATGATTTATCCACTAGTCAACCCCTTTGAGCCTTGTGACTTTGGGGATTGTTCTCATGTTAGGAGCTTTATGCTTGTGAGCTTGATGGTGTTTGATAGAACGACCCCCAATCCTTTCTTCATGTCTATACGTGTGTCGTCCTTGTGTCCCGGAGCTCTAGCTTTTGAGTTCCATTGAGGTTCTGTATAGGAGGATTTTGTGCGGTTCTTGATAGGAACGAAAGTGAAAGGAATAGTACTGTTGGAGTGAGTTCTTTAAAAAATAAGAGAGAGCATTGATCGCTAAAAGTAGTGTGGCAAATTTTTAACTCTCTAGTACCCCTCTCAAAAAGAAAAGAAAAAAAGAAAGAAAAGGAAAATAGAAAGAAAGAAAAGGAAAGAGAAACGAAAAAGAGGTAATAAAACGGGGTAAATAAAGTAGAGAATACAACAAGGAATGAAAGAGTATGCTCTAGGAGAGGTTTCTTGGCACTCAAGCAATTGAAACCTCCACATTATCTTAGAACTCCTTCACTACCATGTGAAATGTGACAGCAAGAGTAGACCGAGGAAGAGCGCTTAAAGGAAGTTCATGATTGGGTGATAGTTTGGAAGGGAGAAGCGAGGTTTTAGGCCGATGCTAGTGGCCATTGTTTGTAAGGAAGGTTCTTAGTCGAAACCATAGAACCTTCGGTTTAGGGTGAAGATGTAGGACCTCATGATGTGTTTTCCACCACCCAAAAAGCCTTTTCCCCATTTCTAAGACAATCGCCCGTCATTTGAACCCGTGTCTAAGACCTCCGGACAATCTAGTGATGACAACCATTCCGTGAACTCTAGCATTTAAAGGTTGCCGTCGTGGTGTTTAGAGGTGTCAATCGGGCGGGTTCGGGTTGGGTTCATTCGGGTTGCGGGTTGGTCGGGTTGCGGGTTCATCGTGTTGCAGGTTCATCGGGTTCGGGTTGATCGGGTTGCGGGTCAATCGGGCTGCGGGCCAATCGGGTTACGAGTCAATCGGGTGCGGGTCAATCGGGTTGCGGGTCGGGCGGTTCGGGTTGCGGGTTTTACCACTACAAAAAAGAGGAGGTTTAGGTAGGATTTTCGCTGCCAAAGCCAAATATAGGGCCAAAAGAATCGAAGATAAGAGGGTAATAGAGATGTAATCGGGCAAAAACTAGAGATATAACGGAAAACATATTAAAAAGATTTATGTCTATTTTGACTCTTGAGGAAAGAAAATCAAATCAAAAAATCTATTTTACCGCCAAAGCCAAATACACGGGTGCCAATGCCATTACTGGGAAAATGAAACGTGTTTGCCTGTCTCTAAAAACTATAATACATCCTACATATTCCGATCTTAAGCAAACTATTAGGGTTTTAAATTATTTGGATGGGTTTGAATTGATATTTACAAAATCAAAGTATATGAGTTAAGTGATTAAAATGATTAACTAAAAAAAAATGTATAGCTGTCAAGTTTAATTTTCCATTTATGGGCAAGCAAGCGGCAAGCAGGGTAGATGGGAAGTTCAAAATTTAGGCTGCAAAAATTGAAAATGGCCGCCAATCCAAAAGGTAAATGGAAAGTTCAAAATTTAGGCTGAAAAGCTAAAAGGCCCGCCACTCCAAGAGACAAAAATGAGATTAGTGATTATCAATGGTTCCACTTTTAAATATAGGGTTGGTTTGGATGGATCAATCAAAAAATGAGTCAATTTGATCAATTGTCTCATTTCATAAATGAGGCAAATAAAATGAGTCAATTAGAATTACTTGCCCCCACCCCTAGCAAATTGAAATTGACTCAAAACAGATCAATTCAAAATACCTCAGGCAGATTGATCCATCCAAATTTTTTGCAGGCAAACGAGACAATTTGGAAAAAATGTTGTGAGTTCAATTGTAACTTTACTTGATAACATATAATCTAAACTCTAGATAGTCTCTACCCTGAACCCCAAATGATTTTATTCATGAACATGTGTTAATAAATAACTTGATCCTTATTATTTACGATTTTGACTAATCTTGTTTAATACATTAACCCTAACCCATTACCCTAACCATATACCCTATACGTCGACTCTATATCATATACCCTAAACCCCTAATGGTTTGATTCATGAACATATATTAATAAGAAAACTTGATCTTATTAGTAATGATTTTGACTCATCGTGGCCAAACCATTAATACCTTATACTCTAACCATATACCCTACAAGTCGACTCTATAACCTATACCCTAAATCCCTACTGGTTTGATTCATGAACATATGTTAATAAGAAAACTTGATCTTATTAGTTATGATTTTGACTAATCGTGGTCAAACCATTAATACCTTATACTCTAACCATATACCCTACAAGTCGACTCTATAACCTATACCCTAAACCCCTACTGGTTTGATTCATGAACATATGTTAATAAGAAAAGTTGATCTTATTAATTATGATTTTGACTAACCGTGGTCAAACCATTAAGACCTTATACCCTAACCATATACCCTATAAGTCGATCGTTATTAGTTATAACTTATAAGTTATTATTTTGAGGTTTTGACTAATCGTGTCTAACCATTAATTTCATGTTACCCTTTTTGATGTTTTCTTATCTTTTTTATTAATTTTTTTTTATCATTGTTGACTTCTGATACTCCTGGTACGATGCCGTTTTAAAAATCCTATGGCTAATGGCGATGCGAATGCGATGCAGTCCTCCTCTCCATCCAAATGGGAATCGCTTTCCCTTTCCGCCTATCCCAAATCGAACGAAAACCCTAGTTCCTCCCTACCATCGCGACTCCGACTGCGCGACTGTTCCAACTTCCAAACCAGCTTCGTTGTCTGGAAACCTCTCCGCCACCGTCCCTTCTCGGCTTCTCATCCAACAAATCCCAAAGACCAGAAAATCTATTCCGGCATCGTCCCTTCTCTTCCAACAACAAGCAATTCCCAAAGGCAAGATAGCAGAGAGCAAAAAATCCGTCCGCCGACCGCCGCCATCCCTGCTCGATTCGAGTTCGGCTTCGACGCTCAAAGGCGCAGCGCACGCGTCCGTTTCCCACCCCTACTAGAATCTGTCACTTCCTTCTTGCTTGCTGCCATTCGCTTCTCTCCATCGATTCGCATCTCCATCTCGCGAGCTCAATAGTTCAGGTATGGATTCCTTTCTTCTTCGGGGGAAGAAGATTTGGGTATTGACAAGGATGAAAGGTTTGTTCTAGTATTCTACCAAATAAATCTTTTCTATGAATTGGTCTAACTATGTGAATGAGTCAAGGAAAATAGAATGCTCTTCTTTTGGTAACCATGTTCTTTCAATATAGAAACTTTCTCTGGTAATTTTGGTGCCACTTCTCTCGACTTTTCTTTCAGAATGGGAGAAGACTGTGCAACTCAACGCCATTGTTTGCCTTTCTACTGGTTAAGAATTTTTAAGTTTTCAATCATGCCACCATGTGTCCTAATTCTTTGTTTCTGTTATACTCGATTATACAATATATCGATAGGTAGCTACCTATGAGACAACATAACTGAATTCTGTCCTAATTCTCATAATAAAGAATTCCACGTAATTAAGAATGGTCAGACTTACAAGTTAACATCACATGGCTTTGATCTTTGCTTATTTGGTATGTAATTTATTAATTGAAAGTATGGAAAACAGAGGGCAGCACTCGATGATATATATTTGTGAGATATTTGTTTCTCCAGTTTACTCATTAACATTTGATTTGTTGTTCACTTTGGTGAATTTGCAGACATGGATCCTAATAATGCGGGAAGTGGTGTTGGTAGTACTACTGGTTCTAGCCCTTCTTCACCCCCTAAAAAGAAGGCTAATTCTCGCCGCACATCAGATTTAAGGAATGAGTCTACTGGTCCCAATTGCATAACTCAGGAAGGTTTTCGTGAGAAATTAGCTATATGCACAATTTCACATGATTCCGTTTTTAGATGTGTTGAACATAAAGGAAATAGAGATATGCATAGCTATTTGAATGGTCAGGCTAAACCTATTTCAAGGAATACACATAAATCTAACATTGTGAAGATCCATGAAAGAATGAAGGAGGAGTTAAAGTCTAGCTTGCAAAAGATTTCTAGTCGTATTTGTTTGACTAGTGATATGTGGACTTCATTGACAACTAGAGGATTTATATGCTTGACGGCTCATTATGTTGATGATGAATGGAAACTGAATAGCAAGCTATTGAGCTTTACTCATCTTCCTCCTCCACATTCCTCTTATAGAGTGAAGACGACCATTTATCGTATGCTCAGAGAGTGGGGTATTGATAACAAGATCTTCTCTATCACCTTGGATAATGCTAGCAATATGACTAACATGCAAAATGAATTACGTGATCAGTTGAATGGACAAAATGGATTGTTGTGTGATGGCAAGTTCTTTCATATACGTTGTTGTGGGCACATATTGAATCTTATTGTCCAAGCTGGATTGAAGGTGATAAAAGATGGTATTAGATCTGTGAGAGAAAGTGTAAAATATGTAGAAGGATTTGAAGGAAGGAAAATTAAGTTTAAGGAATGTGTTGAGCAAAGTGGGATGAAACAAACAAGGTCTTTGTGGTTGGATGTGCCAACAAGATGGAATTCAACTTATAATATGCTTGAGAGGGAAAATCATTATCTTCAAGCATTTGTAAACTTAGCAAGGATGGATTTCGAGTATAATGAATGTCCATCATCTGAAGATTGGGAGAAGATAGAAGTGCTTATAAAATTCTTGAAGCCTTTTGATGAAATCACAAAGTTATTCTCTGGAACTAAGTACCCGACTAGTAATCTGTTTTTTGAGAATGTTTGGAAGATTCATCTTGAGTTGAGGCTTCTTTGTACAAGTCTAGATGATGATATACGTGCTATGGCAAATGCAATGACGTTGAAATTCTTGAAGTATTGGAAAGACTACAACTTGGTGCTTGCTTTTGGGGTTATTTTGGACCCTCGTTATAAGGTTGCTTTTGTGAATTATTGCTATGAAAAGTTGGGTGGAGAAAATGTTTCAAAAGTCGAGGATGTTGTGGATGATTTGGAGTTGCTTTTGGAAGAATATAAGAATCAATCGGCCACTTCAGCTACTCAAAGTGGTGTGTCTATGACTTCTCCAAGCGTTCCCTTGGACAATTACACTGCTGTAAGTATTTGTTTGTTGCTACATTTATGAATTATGTTATTGTGTTTTGGTCTTTGGTTAATTATTTGTTTTGTTTCATGTACATGCTAACTGTAAAGAAAATGATGAACATGCTTATGTGTTAATATCAATGATATCTATATTTATTGTTTGTTGGGGTTTTATGCATCCAATATCAACCACAATACGTCAACTAGTTCTGAGTTGCAATTGTATTTGGCTGATCCTTTGATACCTGCATTTGGGGACATTGATGGAGTCTCTAAGCTACTTCCTTTTGATGTCTTGCAATATTGGAAGGACCATCAATTTCGATTTCCTTACCTCTCTAAAATGGCAAAGGATGTACTTTCTATTCCAATTACATCAGTTGCATCAGAGTCTTCTTTTAGTTTGGGAGGAAGAATATTAACAAAATGGAGAACTTCGATTTTGTCTGATACTCTTGAAGCTGTTGTGACAACTCGTAATTGGATACGAGGATACCAAATGGGTAAGGAAAAACAAATTGTTATATTTGTACTGAACAAACTATTCTCTTTTCCTTATTATTTTCTTTTCACTGATTAATTGTACAGATGACGATGATGAAGATACGAGGGATGATGGAGAAGAAGTAAAGCTTCTAGAGTGATCGTCATTTGGAATGTCAATTTGTTTTTTGGACATGTTTTATTGATATTTGAGGTCTTGAGACAATATGAACTATTATGAGTCATGTATTCTTGTTATGATCAGACTTTTGTGAACTATTATTAGTCTTTTTTATGATAGGACCATGATATTTGGATTTTAAATCTTATAATTATCTTATTATGCTAAACTAATATTTTATAATCTTATGTGGACTATTAGGTTGATGATGTATCTAAATCAATATTTGATGATGTTATATGCGTTAATAGGTTGATGATGTATATTATTATACTAAGTTAATAATTAATGATGTAATGATCAGACTTTAGTGAACTAGGATTTCAAATGTCAACTTATAGTTTATCTTCATCGAATTTCTTCTATTATAGTTGGGCCGCGGGTTGGTCGGGTTACGGGTTCGGGTTAGTCGGGTTGCGGGTTAATCGGGTTGCGGGTCGGTCGGATTGCGGGTCGATCGGGTTGAGGGTTGGTCGGGTTGCGGGTCGGTCGGGTTGCGGGTTGGTCGAGTTGCGGGTCGGGCGGGTTACGGGTCATTGACTTTTAGTCAAATCGGGTTGCGGGCGGGTTGCGAGTCGGGTTGATCGGGCGGGTTACTCGGGTCGGGTTACATTTTGACAGCTCTAGTGGTGTTGAGACGATAGGGCCGAGTGTTGATGATTGTGCACATTCTTTGCACCATAAGGTCCCGACCCACCAGTCAAGAGAGTGAGTGATTCATTCTTGTTTTGCATGCCATATCATACCCCGGGGAGGACCTTTCTTGCCCATCCGTTTGTTCCTTGGACTTGAAATCTATGCATGGTTAGTTATGGTTGATTAGTGATCTTGTTGAAACTTGCATCGATTCATTAACAAGGTGAGAACTTTTCATTTGCCCGTATTTGGTGGATTTCGGTATTGCTTGCAACGATCCTTGTATTAATTGCCAATAGCCATTTGAGATTCGCCACTTTGTGCCCTTTGATTTGTCCCCAAAGTATTTTGATAGGTTGAGATATTACCTTGTGTGAAATGGTTTGCTTGTGGACGAGCAAACGTCTAAGTGTGGGGGGAGTGAAATGGTTTGTTTATGGCATTTGTGCTCCGAAATGGGTGGTTTTACACTAGGTTTCTCGTGTTTCAGTGTGTTTCTGGATCTAACATGTGAAACCAGTCCCGGAGTCGAAAGTTGGAGGAAAAGGAGCAACGACCAGGAAAAGAGAGTGATTTAGGCCATGTTCACGGTTTCCCATTAGAGTTCATGGTCTCCTAAGGCCGTGAACTGGATCCATAAACAGTGAACCAGAAAGCGTCCAGGGCGGTTTCAGATGTTACTAACGCCGAGTGAGTTCACAGTCACCAAGACCGTGAACTTTGAGTGCAAATTGTGAACTCAAGTGAGTGAAGCAGTGCGTTTCGACACAGCACTTCGAGTTCACGGACGCGTTGAGGAGTTCAAGGTCGTGAACTGAGCCCGATCCCAGTATATAATGTGAGTTGAAAGGAAGAGAGAGGGAAGCCCAAGTGTGAGAAAGCATCTTCTTCTTCATATTTTAGAGAGAGAAAGGACGAACCAAAGAAGAAGGGGGTCTTGGGTTTGCTCCAAGTGGTCAATTGGGAAGAATCTCCCCAATTCTTGCATGAAGTAGTTTCCTTTCTAGCATGAAGTAGTTTCCTTTTTCACTTGGGTGTTGTGAAACCCTAACTATTTGCCATGTAGTTGTTGTGTGAATTGAATGATTGTTTATGAGTGTTGTTTAATTTAATGATTGAGGTACTTTTCATGATGATTGTGCATGTTTGTGCTTGACAATCAAATTGGCCATTCTAACCTAGGTTAGAGGGGAAACCCCCCTTTCCAAAGAGGCTCAATTGAGTTGGGATTCCTTGGGCTTTTCAAGCCACCTACCTAGGTTAATGTAGGGCAAACCTCTATCTTGAATTAAACGACTAGGTTAATCGTGATTAAGCCATCCAACCATTGGTTTGAGGGAGAAGGTAAGTCAACCCTCAATTGCCTTAAACAAGAGGGCTACTCTAGTAGCCTATAATGTATCCATGCGTTTGGCAATTGAGAGTGTGGTCTTCAACCATAGTTGCACTTCCTAGCGGTTCACGATTTCATTGCCTATAACGACCAATTCGAGTCCTTAATAGTTATGGTCCACAAAATACGTCCATCTTCAATTAATATGTAATGAATTAGCTCCCTACTTTCCTCCATGCTAGTCACGACTCACGTGTAGTAGTAAGCAACTCATTTATCTATCAAGAATGCTCCTAATCGATCCTAATATCTCCATATTCGAACCTTTATTTTTGGACCACGAGAACTATATGTGTTGGCAACAAGT